GGATTGATGGCTACACTGTAGTCCCTTCTGTCCCTTCTCCTCTCAGGATTTTGGGTATGCACACACATACACCTGGCCTGTTTTTCTAGCTGCTGGGTCCAGGGCTCAAACCGCATAGTTAGCTATGTTGGATCCAGCTGCCTTAACCCCCACACCACCTGGCTGGCCCTAGATACAGTTTTCTTATCATATCATTCTTGTGCATGCATAGAAAGGAACATCTCAAAGCCAACTCATTAGATAAGATAGCCCTGTCGTTTCTTCACAGAGTCTGGCTCCTGTGAATCCCGTCTAGCCAGTCGAGGATGCCTGTTTCCTGTAGAGTGGGTGCTTGTGCCATCCATGCCAAGGGGGCAGTGTCTCCTTGAGCACTCGATTCTCATGGTTGCCAGGGTTTTTCTGGACTGCAAGTACCCACTTTGCAGAAGTGTGGCTGGCTCTTTCCTTATCTGGTCTGAGGCAGCAGCCTGTCACCACTGTGCCCTTCCTGCCACCTGGTCAGAAGCAGATGGGAGAGGCCATTGGCGGAAAGCCTTGCTGATTTTAGGGCATCTGAACATGAACGGGAAACCCAGGAGCTGTACTCGGACTTGAGAGGTGGAGCTGTTCTGACACAGGAAGGCCTGACTGGCAACCTCCCTGTTACTGTTCCAGCACCCCCTCCTTCTCTTCTCATTTGGACGAGGGTATGGCTTTGAAGTTGGGTATCAGTCCGGTATGAAGGTGGTGGTTTAATGCAAGTACACATTTTGTCGAAGGCTGTAAGGTCACACAACCTTCTTTTGTGCCTCTGAATGAGAAGTTTGAGCACATAGTATTTAAAACGGAGAGCGGCATCATCTTTTTCTTTTGCATTTTAAAATGAGAGGGCAGGCCTGGCCTTGTGTCCTTGTGTCCCGGTCTTGTCTGCCTTCGACACAGACAGCTAGCTGTGGTTTGTGCAGGTCACGAGTGCTGGCTGCCTCAGTCCTCCTACTGGAACCCAGCCTGGAAGGCTCTGCCTGGGCCAGACACATGTGCACCTTGCATGGCAGAGTCCTCCAGGTGTCTGCAGCCACCTGTGGCTCTGCTCTCTCGCCAGGGCCTGCTGCTGGGACTGTCCAGCCCTGCCGAGTTTGCTCGCTCCCTTCAGAGGGTGGTAGCGCGTTTGCAGTGTGCAGCCAGGGCTGGGTGGGCTAGGTGCAGTGCTGTGAGCAGGCGGCCTTCACCGGCCTACCACGTCAGGTTGCGCTGCAGGAATCCAAGGAGACCTGCCCCAGTTCCACCCCTCACACCGTCTGCTCTCCCAGTTTGGATGATTTAGTTCAGTGTTTTTAATTTACATCTTAAAACTGTAATCATGGTACACATATAATTTCTATCACAAGCTTTTCTCACACTACTTTTGTTTTATCACAGTGGCCTTTAATGACTCCAGGGTTGAGAGTGTGCATCGACACTGTTGAAACCTAATCTCATATGCCTGCCCCCTACCCCTGCGTTCATGTCCCTGGCCACTCCTTTCTGGTGACACAGGTGTCGAGGACAGGGCCTTTTCACACAACAGGCTGGGCCCAGCATCCTTGCTCTGGGGCAGCCCTGACCCAGCCCCGGAGTGTGGCCTGGCTCCTCCGCTGTGAGTGCACAAGTGCTTGGGCCTGGAGTTTGAAATGCCTCTTTTATTTGAGAACAGCTGAATAGCATTCACCCGCTTTCCACGTTTTCCTGTCCAGATATGAGTCACTTCCTGCTCCCAGTCCAGATGGGCCTTTTTCTTTTGCCTTTTCCCATAAACCCTAATGTTACTCTGTCCTGGGACATTTAAGTATATGTTGTTTACCTTGTGGCTAGGGACAGTACTGACCACACTTGTCTGTGTCCATTGACATGGTATATTCTAGTGTTTTAACAGGATAGAAGATCTGAATTGGAGTGAAGTCATTGTGGGCGAGCTTTTAAAAATACTGCTCCAAAAAAACATGTGAGCTGACAGCCTGGCTGAGGAGGAGGTCTGACCCAAGTGGGAGCTGTGCCCAGCACGGCCCTCCAGCCCAGCCCGGCCCTCCAGCCCAGCCCTCCAGCCCAGCCTGCACTGTGGCCCATGCTTTGTTTTGCCAGAAAGGAAATAAACATTCTTATTTTTGTTAGAGTAATTCCTTCCTGTGAGGTGCTATTTTAGTCTTAAAATGCTCTAAACCGAAAATACTAGTATTTCCCATACGCGTATTTCCCGTATTTCAATGCATCTCAACCCTGGGGCAGCTGCCTTAACCCAGGGAGGTTTTCAGGGGTGCGAGGCAAGTGGAGGCCCGTCTCCCCACCAGGCTGTCCCCTCCAGCCTCTGTCTTCTTTACTTAGCACAGAGCAGGAGCTCAGCAGTGTACAAGGGCCCTTCACAGAGAGTGTGGGAAATGCCTGATACAAAAAACTACTCATGGATTTCAAAACTTTTGTCGTAAAATAAACTGGTACTTTAATTCCATTTCCCACAAACTTGAAATCTCAGCATATTTTGGTGAACATCGATGCTTTGGGCAGGGGTCAGCAGGCCTGCTGTGCAGAGATCTCAAGTCAGTGCTTAGGGCTCTTGGAGCCCTTTTTGCCTGATGTGCTTACCCCACTGCAGTGGGCCGACGCAGTTGCTGTGTCTGGGGCCGGGTGAACTGTTGACACACATAGGCGAAGGCGGCCTGAGAGCTACAGCTGGGTTCTGAGCAGGGACCATCACGGCGCTGCCAGCTTCACAGCACAGCCGAGCACAGGAGGTGCTGGTTTCATTCCGTCTTGATTTTAAGTTATGCTCTCCCTGTGGGTAGTGGCCCTGGTATTTGACAGTGCAGGTTTAAAGCCCTCTCCAAAGCTTGCCACACCGAGCAGGTGGTCGCTCTCTAGGACAGTCACATGTCTGGGGACATGCTGGGACTCAGTCGGCAGAATATGTTTGTTTGAGTTGGGGGGTTGGTTGGCTCGACCTCTCTGATGGAGTTAGCTGTGACCCTGAACTGGTCTTAGATTTATTTGTTTAAAGAATTAGATTGGGAGCAGCAGTTAGCATAATGGCTATGTTGCTGGACTCCCATATAGCCGACCGTGGTTCGAGCCCTGGACCTAGTGGCTTAAACTCACACCAGTTGCGTGTGCGTGTGTGCCCAAGATCCTGAGAGGAAAATGGAGGAGAAGGGATTGTGGCGTGGCCATGTCCCCCAGGGGGTGATTTCTTGCTTTCTGTCTCTCTGTCTATTTCTGGTGAGCATATGCGCCCTGTAGCAAAAACCTCTCCAAAAAAAAAAAAAAAAGAATTATTTTA